GTCTGTCTCTGCATTCTGCATTCCAGCCTCTGGGCTTGCTCTGGGATCCAGGGGAGGGAGTCTAGTCACGGACCACGTAGCTATCTTACATGGCCCCTTTGAGGATGAGAAGTCAGTTTCTCCAGTTGAAACATCTCCTGCCCACAGCCGGGGAGCGTTGAGGTGGACCCTAGCTGCGTGAAGACCCTGATGACTGCTAACGCTTGGTAAAAAGCCAGCCTGCCTCAAATCCCAGAGTGGGACCAGAGCTCAGTTTGGGAAACCACCGTATGAGGTGGTTTCCTACAGACACGTGGATGTTTCGGAGAGCTAGCTCCTGCGTAGAGGAGGCTTCTCAAGCTTTAATATGCACACTTCTCCAGGAACCACCTGGAGGCCTTGTTACCCACGCAGGTTCTGAGTCAGCAGGTCTGGGGGCAGCCTGAGAGTCTGCATTGCTAACAAGCTCCCAGGTGAGGCCGTCGTGGAGGCCCACAGACCACACTTGGAATAGCGAGTCCTCCGAGCATCTGCCTTGATTCCCTGCTATGCTCCTCAGGGACCCTGCCTCCTAGGTTCCTACTGAGGGGTTGGTGAGCCTGCCTCTTCTCCAGCTTGTCCAACCAGGGCTAAAACTAGCCCCTATTCTACATAGATAGTCACCTGAGATTCTAGAGGAAAAAAACAAAACTGGACAGCAAGTGTTTTCCCCTTCCTTCCCTTGCCAGAAATGAATAAACAGCAGGAACTACTTACCATGAATGCAGCATTTTGAAAAATTATTTTCTCCCCATGTGTAATTTGACTTTCTCACTAAATCGTAGTCCTGTAACATGATCTGGTAGAGTGCTCAATTAAAAGCTTCAAAAAAACCACATTTTTGTGGCCCTAGGGGCACCAGAGTTTACCTGGCAAGCTGGTGGCACGTGAGGACATAATGTCGGGGAAAGTGCTCACGGCTGAGGAGGAGATTTGAGGTCCGGAAATGCTGAGGAGTGAGAAGTTCTCCATATTCTGACTACCGTAGGGTATGGAGATCGCACATCTGCTCCCAAGAGGCTGGTTGGGTTGTCCAGATGATGAACATTCTGAGTGCAGTTGACATCACAAGAAGGCCCCATGATTCCACTCGCTGGCCAGGCTATCCCTTTCAAGGACGGATGGAGTCTTTTAAATTTGGGGGCTTGTCATTCCTCATTGGCCTGCCTCGATTGAGAATGCCCAGGGGGAAGGAAGCCTGTAGCAGAGATGTGACCGTGATGTAATCTGTTGACCCCGCCCCATTGATCTTTGGTGTCCTTTCTATGTCCTTGCTGACACACCCAGTTCTGGGGACCTCTGTCCTCTCTGAATAAGCTGCTCGCTTGGCTTCTCCTTCATCTGCCTCACCTCTGCCATCTGCCATCAGATGTTTTTGTTCTTTCCGCTTTGAAGTTTGGGGTATAATTTTTACGTTTTCTTTGGAAATCATTTCAAAGTGACAAAAAGTTGCAAAACTAAAACCAGCTTCCGTGTATTCTGTATCCAGGTTTTCCTATTGTTAACATTTTACCCCTTTCGCTTTGTCAATTCGCCTCCCTCTGCCCCCTACTTGGTTTGTGGAGCTATTCCAAGGTAAGTTACAAGCATCATGTCCCTTTGTGCCTAAATGCTTCAGTGTGCACTGCCTAAGAGTAGGGACCAGATAATGTTTTAAATGGTCGGTGCTGTGTATTTTTAGCGAATGACTAAAACACAAAGGGCGGCTTACTCAACACCATTGTGCTCCTTCTAAGCAGTTTGCTGGGGAGACTGAACTCCAGAGCGGCCAGGTTGCCTCTCGTCTCTGCTTCGCTTCTGTCGTGTCCCAGCCTAGCCGGCTGGAGGGCTGTGGAATAAAGGTGAAAGGTGATCGTGCCACTTTGAAGATAAGCCCCGCTCTAGAGCGTCACAACAGGGGCAGACTAGGTACATAGAGTGCATTTGATCTAAATGCGCGTCTGCTTGGGCTGCGGGGAAAGATGTGGCCTGGCCGTGGAGCACGTGCAGGTGCGAGTGGGCTTCTGGGTGTGAGAGCCTGGAGTCGTCGTCCTGTTGGGATCCGCCCGCGGGACTTCAGCGTTGCAGGACAGGGTGGAGAACCTCACTGCCTCCCCAGAGCCCGGCTTAGAAGCTTAGAAGGCGTTGGAATTTAATGACACCGTGGGCTTTGGCAGCCTTGAGGGTATTGGCGATTTGATTTGGCCCCTGCGGTGCAGAGGAAGATCCTGGGGTCCGGGGAGTTGGCGTGTGTGAGTTCTTACCCCCCTCTGCTGTTAGTGACTTGTGCAGCGTTAGGCAAACCTCCCTGCCACCGTGTCCACCTATTTTGTTCATTTAATGGTTGGAATGGGTGAACATCTCCCTGGTGTAAAATCGGGTGATTTGTGTGCAGAAATGGGACAGGAGAGTAATGAGCGTGTGCACACGGAACCCAGAAGATTTTGAATTTCATCCTGCGGGCGTGGGGGGCGGTCATTGAATTCTTCCCGCTGCCAGCTTGGGAACTTCCGCTAGACTGCCTGTAGAGGGGGCTCAAAATGTTGGGGAACACATGGGAAGCTGCGTCAGAGCCTGTTTGTAGAGTTTTTAAAAACAAGACACTTTCGGTCTAGGTATTGAAGAGTTCGTGGGAACCTGGTTGTCCAGGGTTGGTGATATTCCTGGCAGCAGTCCTGCTGTCTTGCCTGTTACGCTCTCCCGGTACGTTGCTGCTGGTGGCCCGGGCAGGAGGTGACACTCCCAAAGTGGTTGGCCACTACATAAAATGTGTCTCTCTCTTGTTTGCTTCCCACCTGCTTTCCGAGCCCCTTTCTCGGACAGGTAAGAGACCATCTTCCTTATGGACGATTTATGTCACAGATGCTTGGCTTTGCTCGGATGTGTGCATGTGGGGGGTGCTGCGGGGCGGACCACCAGGTCGGGGTCTCATGGTATTTCTTTCCATCATCGCCATTACGTTCCGAACCACCCCGCATCTAGTCCAAAGGGAGGGACGGGGTGTGCAGGTCGTTAGTGCCACCAGCAGGAAAGGGGCTCCTGGCACATCCTTCCGGTGTGGAAATGAAGGAGGCCCCCCGCCAGAGTCCCACTTCTGAGACAAGAGCAGTTGCTCCCGGGCTGACCTCAAGAGAGGAGGTTATGACTGGCTTTCATAAATGGAAAAAGGCTCGGGAACAGTTCTCTACACTGTCCGCCCATAATGTGGTCAGGTTTTAAGTATTCCTATAAAAAGCCAATTCAGTTAAGCCAAACTTACTAAATGCCGACTCTTGGGCCAGGCCCTATGCTGAGCACTCCAGAAAGTAAAAAAAAAAAAAAAAAATCACTCAGATGCTGCATCCCCTCGAGGAGCTCACCATTTCATCATCGAGCCAAGGTGTGTTTGCCAGAAAGACTTAGGGAATTGTAAAGAACGCACAGGATAGGTTATCTTTAAATTACTTAAGAATTCAGCATAGACGTTCGCAAGGGCAGTTTTTCGAATAAGAGGAGCTCACAGTTCACAAGTCACTTAGGGTTTTGTTGTTGTCGCTTACACTTTCAGAAACGAGCACGTCTACACTGTAGATTCACTTGAAACCAATAAGGAGACCACCACGGATATATCTGAGCCAGGAAGTGGGGGGGATCTGCCTTCCCCAGCGAACCTCTTTAGAACATTTGCCCTGGTTTCGCAGTGGCGCGAATATACTTGCTGGTTTGGGGGGGAAATAGTGGAATGCTTCCATTGCAAAGGGCTTCTCTGCAGATTTTATGATTAAAGAAAAAACTCGAGGGATACGAGACGCGATAGGGAAAGTATGCCGAAGTGGGTGGTGATGTGGCGAGATAGAGCTCTTAGCCGAGTCAGAGGAGCTGATAACCCCGCTGGGGGCTGGGCTGGAAGTCCTGCTGGGGTGGCGTGGCCACACCCGGAGCCCAGGCTGCCTCAGCCGGTCAGCTCTGTGCCCCAGACCCCAGGGCTCTTCTAACCCAGTTCCCCGGCACGGCCCCCGCCATGGTGCCTTCCCTGTGTGTGCGACAGACGTGCAGACCTGGGGGTGGGGTTCATCCGCTCCTCTCCCCACAGCTTCCTGCTGCCGCCCAAAGACCTTTACAATAGGGCTTCTCTAGCTAGTTGGTGCAGGGGGGATGTGTCTGTTGAAACCATGGTAAAGGGAGATGCATCCGCTCTGGCGGGGGGCTCTGCAGTGGAGGCAGAGGCAGCTACTTTGTGCCAAGTTCAGCAGAAGCAGCCGCACCACCCCAACCTCACGCACTCTTGCGAAGGCTCAGCGGGAATAGGCACTTAGAGGGGTAGATCCCCCAGATCGACAGAACGTCTGGAGTAGTTGGTAAGGACAGAAACCTCACGTGTGCTTCCAAGGCCCCAGAATGGATCTGGCTCCCTGGAGGGCTGAGCTTGACTTCCAGGTGGGGGAGGACGCCCTGGTACAAGCGTGTGCACGGTGTGGCCTAAAGCCCTGAGCACCGGTCGTTCCGGTGACAAACCTTAGAGCTATGATTTTGGCCTCTACAATTCTCCCAGCTGCAGAATGGGTCTGGCAGTTTGAGAGATTTATTGAGCACCTACTGTATACCAGGCCAGGCTAGCCGTTAAAGCTTCGGCCCCAGTGCTGACGTCCGCTCAGCTTGTGTTCACAACGAGAGAAAAATACCATAGCTCATGACTTCTTCAGTTTTTCTTCAGAGGGTTTGGTGACCCTAAGGTCAGGGGTCAAGCCAGGAGTCGAGGAGGCAGGTTTAAAGGGATAAGTTCGGTTGAAGTGACAGGTTTGTGGCTCGCGCTTGTCCCCGATGAACCAGGCGGGGCAGAACTGGAATTGCTGGTCCCACATCCCATCAGGAAAACCCGACCGGGAGGGTCGAGAGTACCTCTGCTGGTGCTCTCCTGAGTGTTACCAAAGCCTCGGGAAGTGACAGGGGTGGCTGTGCTGTAAGGGCAAGAGGCAGAGGGACCCGCCCCCGCTCACCGTGTCCGTCTTCCCCTCTGTTTGCAGTGGACCACGGCGTGTTTGAGAACTTGAACACGGCCCACGCTCCGAAGCTGCAGCCCAGCTGCTCCTTCCCCCACTTGTCCAGGCTGGCGACCCCCAGCTCTGCCGCCCTGGGGCCGGTGGAGCCCGACGGGCCGGGACTCTGGGTGGGCAGCAGCCAGCACCTCAAGAACCTGGGCAGAGCCGTGGGGGCCAAAGTCAATGACTTCCTGCGGAGGAAAGAGCCCTCGAGCCTGGACGGTGCGGGCGCCATGGAGATCAACAGGACCGCGGGGGCCCGGCTGGCCGGCGGGGTCGCCGGCGAGGAGGAGAGGTAAGTGCGGGGGGCGGGCCTGCCGAGCTCCGGGATGAAGCCAGAGAGCAGCCCTGAGCTGGGGACGTGAGCTCCTCCTGCGGAGAACGGGGCTGGGCCGTGTCCCTGGTTGCTGGCTGCCACCCGGTCACCACGGCCCAGGTTTACTGAGCACTGTCTGGTGTCTGCAAACGCCGGGCCGCACGCCCCCCCAACCCTGCAGCGGCCCTGAGGTGGATCCGGTGGTTCCCGTCTCGCGCAGAACCAAGTTCAGAGGGGTAAGGTGAGGAGCTTCAGGTTACGAAGTTAGGAGTGGGCGGAGCTGGAGTCGAACCCGGCATTGCCTGAAGCTCCCTGGGTGGATTCTAAGGCCCAGCCACACCTTCGAGCCACTGCCCTGCTGGTGGTAGTGGAGGAATGTGGGTGCCCGTGGGACCCACAGGGGCAGGGGAGGGAGAAGCCCGCTGGGGCCATCAGGTCCCTTCCAGGCCTTGTTTTCACCACCCGCTGTGCTCCTCAGCTGGTACTGTCCCCCATAGCTCATCTGTGGTCCCAGCGGCAACACCAGCCCCGCGGGGGGGCGGGGGGGGCAGGGGGCGCCAGGGCAAAAGCCAGCGGTGCTCCAGCTGCCACAGCCCACACAGCAAACCGAGGATGAAGCCCCAGCAGGAAAGCGCTTGCTGGGTGGGGGAGCTAGGGAAGCAAGGATCGGGGCGCTGGGTCTCGCCATCCTTAGAGCACACGTGCCTGTCGTCATCAACCCCACAGGTCAGCCCCGCAAGAAGCATTCCCTCGACTCGAGCCCCCGCCCCCCATCACCAGGAAGCGAACCCCTCGGGCCCTGAAGACCACGCAGGACATGCTGATTTCATCACAGCCCGTCCTAAGCAGCCTGGAGCATGGGACAGAGCTGTGTCCCCAGGACACCCTTCCGCCTGCCCAGCCGGAGCCCCCCGTGGAAATGGCGGATAGGGGCGAGGCTCTGCCCAATGGAGAAGTTTCCCCGTCTGTGCCTGACCTGATTCACCAGGACGGCCAGGACGAGCCCAAGCTGAAGATGACTGAGTGCCGAAGGGCCTCGTCCCCTGGCCTCCTCGAGAGGAACGGCCTCGGACTCAGCCCCATCCACCTGGCCCCGCCACTGGGGGCCAGCAGCGCCCCTCCTCGGGCACGGACCTCCAGCCTTGACAATGACGGCCGGCACCCAGACCTGCTCTCCTTTGAGTAGGGCCTCTCCTCCCTGCCAAGCACCCCCCTTCCCCTCGGCCGTCTCCTTCCCTGGTACCTCTTGCCCCCCAGCTCTGCGTGCCCTTTGCCCCCTTGTGCAGAGATCAGCAGAGAGCCAGTCCCCCCGTGTGGGCTGTGCAGGGCCGAGAGTCCCTCAGTCATCCTCGTTAAAGGCTCGTGTTCCATAAGCTCCTCTGGGTGCCGGCCGCAGCCCCGGGGTGTTGGGAGCCCCTCTACTCCCAAGCTGCCCTGACTTCCCACTGGACCCCAGGGCCACCAGCCCGGGATGAAGGCTCCTGCCGGCCTCCCACACGGCCTCCCACACGCTGCCTGTGCCCCCGCCCCTCTCCCTCCGTTCCCTGGTTCGTTTCTCCTGTCTCGGGGGCGGGGCGGGGGGCGGTGGCAATCAGGCTGGTGGGGAATGATGGGTTTGGCGGATGATGGGCTCAGACCTGGAAAGCTGCATTCCCTGAGTGCCGCCCAGCCACTGTTCTCCCGGTCCCAAGACCGCGGAGGCCCCAGGTGGTTGCCTTGCCTCTGCCCTCTGGGTGTGGGCCAGAGGGGACACCAGGCCTGAGACCCGGAGGCAGCCAGGTCGCCGGGGGCTCTCGGGGTGTTTCCTGCCTGGCCAGTTGGGGAATGTGCCAAGCTCCCTGGGACAGGGCACAGAGCCAGCCACTGCGGGGGCACTGGGGGAAAGGGGTACGACCCGCCACGCGTGGGCTCCCTGCGCAGAAGGGGAGGCCGGGCCGCCCCTGCTGTGTGAAGACGGGGCTGGGCAGGCCCCAGCAGAAGCAGCACAGCAGATCATCATCTCGCTTGCGGGCAGGGCCCATGACTCGGTGTCCAGGCGGCTGGCCTTGAGAACCTGGAGCCGAAGTCGTGGAGAAGACAGGATGAGGACAGCGCAGCCACCGGGGCGGGGGGGGCAGAGCGGCTTTTCAGGGACCAGCCCACGGCCTGAAATGAGGCAGGTGTGGGGTCCGGGTGTGGTAAGTGCCAGAGCCGGGGTGACGGACGTGAGACTGGGATGTGGCAGGAGCCGAGGGGCAAACTACCTCTCACCAGGCAGGAGGGGCTTTGCTCTTGTGCTGGAATGGCCTGTGTCTCCCGCGAGGGCCCTCTGCCCTGCCTTTCCCCTGCCCGGATGCTGCATGGTCCTCTCTGCGTCCCGGCCTTCGGGATCCATGTCGGGACCGACCCAGTTCATCCAACCCTAACTGGTTCCGACCCTCCTGGGTTAACGCACTTTTATGTTCCTCTCTCCCACCAGGGCTCCTGTCATGCTGTCTTTCTGTGGCCAGGAGACCCTGTCGGGGGGTGATCCCAACCCTGGGGGCCTTTGCAGCAAGAAGAGAACCTCCCTTTTGTTGAACAGGGTGGCCGGCTCCCCAGGAGAAGGCTGGCATGGCACATCCAGCCGTGGCAGGCCGGTGGGCAGTCTTCCTCCTGGGACTCCTGCGGCGTCCCCTTTTCTGTCCACTCAGCTCCCCGTGCCCCCCAATACTGCTCACTTCCCACTTCATCCTGTCACCCAGTTCCTGCTCCCCTCCCCCACCCCAACCTCTGCCGCATGAAACATCCAAGCAAACTCCTCTGGACCCGGAGCCTGGTCGGGGGTTGGCTCGCCAGGGTGCCGGCTGCCCTTCCTGCATTCTTGCTTCTGCAGCCTTCCCGCCCCATCTCGCGCCCCATCTCCCATTGCTCCGGAAGGCCAGGCTGCACCGCGTGCTCCCAGCAAAGCCTCGGCTCCCTTCCCCGAGGGGCTGCGCAGGCCGGGCACCCTGCCGGCCGTGGTGCAGTGGGCAGGGCAGCTACTGAAGGTCTAGATCCTGCTGCCTTCCTCCAAGGACATCACAACGATATGATCTCTAATCATATCAGAAGTTCTCAGGACTAGCATTTGGAAGCCTGTGAGTTCTCCCAGAACGGCTTGGAGTTCTGCACCCAACACAGCGCTGGGGATGGGGGCAGAAAACCTAAAGATGTGTGCTGGGAACTTCCACGCCAGAAGCTCGGTTTGCTTCTCTGGCGGGAAACCTAGCAGAGCCTTGCCCCCCTGGGGCTCCTGCCTCAGAGATCAGGGTGGCCCTGGCCAGGTGACGTGGAAGCCGGTCATGCAGAGAGCTGGCGCGCCCAGGGTTGGCTTAAGCACCCTGCTCTCCATGCCATACCCAGCCGCTGCTGAGGTCCTGGTCCTCAGACTCGGAGGTTAGCCCAAGGATCCCAGGTCATCCCAGGCCCATCGCCAGGATGACGCTGGAGTTCCTCAGACTAGTGTCTGATGCTGAACGAGGGCCCGCATGGGACCCTGCTCCAATCTTTGGCCTCTCTATGATCTCCACCCTGGCCGTTGTCCTCCCTCGTTTGGGGGGATGCTGCCACCTGGGGGAGGGGGGCTCGAGCCTGAGGTCCAGTCCTAGATGCAGCAGATACCGCCTGGTGCTAGGGGCTGAGTGCTGCCCCCAGGCAGCAGCGATGACAACATCTAGTCCCTCCGAGGGCCTGGGCTCTGCCCGGCTTCCTGTCTCTCAGCAGCCTGACCTCCCTGTGAAAACAGCCTGGCAGCCACTGCCCCCACCCCAACACCTCCTAGTCCAGCTTCTCTGGGAGCTTGGCCCTGGGTGGCCTGGTCGACACAAGGGCAGGATAATGAGGAGCAAAGGACCCAGTTTCTGGGTCTGCATAAGGAAGCTGGGGGCACAGAGTCTCTTCCCTCCCTGTTAGCCCCACAACCCCACTGTATCCCCCTAGTCAGCACGTATCCTTCCCCTGATAAATCACAGGTGAGCTTCCAGAGCCTGGCAGGAGGGTGGTGCGTTCCCCTGCACAGAGCAAAACTTATCTGTGTGATGTACGTGGACGGTATGAAGACAAACATGCTTATGGTCCATCGGCTTTGAAAGAACAAAGAGTTTGGTCCCAGTCTGGGAGAGGAAGATTACAGACCTATTCTGAGTATGAGTATTTTCTAGAGATTTTATATTTATATTTTTAGTAGTGTTCTGGTAGAAGGAAACTGCAGAATAAAACAATCTGGTTTGGTTTTGCCGGTTTGGTTTTGGTTTCTCCGGACTGATGGGAAGTGGATGGTTTTCTCGAGGCTGGCTTGTTGCGTAGAGAGCATTGGCATTTTGGGTTAGAAGCCTGGACTGGTGAGACAGAGGTCGAAACCCGAGGCAGGTGGGCACTGCCTGCTGACCCCCCACCTGAGGCCCTTGGGGGAAGTGATCTCAGGTTGTCCCCCTAACTGGCTGGCCACCAAGGGTCCCTCTCCCAACCTGAGCGTCATGGGGCTGTTCCAGGGGCAACATGATGGACGTGCGTAAGCCCCTCCTCCTCAGGAGGACATGCAAATGGACCCCTGGATTGGCCTCCAGATTACCCTGGGGTGCAGCCCTCTTCCCCCCGAGGAGGGGAGGAGGGGACGGGGCTGTGCGTGTGCATACAGACCTTCCTCAGAGGGACTGGAGCTGCTGACAGAGGTCCTTCCCCGCCCCGGGGCAACTCGAGGCTCGGTGCTCGCTTATTGGGAGACTGTGGCTTGGAGCAGTGCAGGCCGGTGTCGGACCCAGGGACCCAGAGGACTCACACAGCTGAGAATCGGCCAGGCCTCTCACCACCCGAAAAGGGAGGAAGTGGAGAATCGAGGTGGGGGGGGCAGGAAAAGAGGTCTTCGTTCTGTTCACAGAAGCCATACACATTTTTAAAGGGGGAAGGATGGGGCCTTTCTGTCCAGCTCTCTGTCCTTTGCTGCTGTGGCGGGTGGGGGGGGGTGGATTCTACAGTTCAGCATGCGGGGTCCCAGGCTGCACACCCGAAATGCCTTGGGCAGGAGGCCCCAGCCTTTCCTCATCGAACTGCACTCTTAGTTTCTCAGAGGAAGTGCAAGAAGACCATGGTGCCCGAAGGGCCGGCTTGCTCCGCGGTGGGGTGCAGCACTTTGTTCTGGAAAGGCAGGAGAAACGCAGACACCAATCCACCACATTCCACGCATAGGGGGAAAGCATTGAAATTACTTACAATAGCAAACTTTTCTTTAAGTCTAAGCTCCAGCGACTATTCTTCAGGTAACTTTTCCCATTGGTTGGCTCCCGGATGGGCTTCTGCAGGCATTCAGGTGTGAAATGTGCTTTTCACATGCCTTTCTTTTCCACTGTGATGCAAAGTAGTGATTTGGGGCGAAGATCAAATATGGAAAATTGCAGCCTAAAAATATTTCTTTTGAGGAAACTTGTAAGTGTAAAAACGGATGTGCATATGTCACTCTTGATGCAGTGCTCTACGCTGAGCTCATGGTCTAGAAAGCGAGGTACAAAGATGCCTTTATTCAGACAACGTATCCGAGCCCCTCCAGGAGCCGAGTGCTGTCTGGTGCACAGTGGTAACCTGGTGGGAAAGGGCTACCTGGTTCTCTCTCTCCATGTCAGCAAGGGGTGAGGACACTGCGGAGTCCGTGGTCCTGTGACGAACAGGCTATGTCAGCAGGATATCAAAATACAGCCGAAGCACCAAAGGGGATGTGATAAATTTCAACTGGTTGTGTTTTCCCTCAGAGCTTAATCTTACAGTAACTGCAGAAGAAAAGCAACAAAGCAGAGGTCATCAAGAAAGCCACTTCATTCCTGAAGTCTGTGCATGGGCTGGGGGGAACCCCAGTTGGTATTCAGAATTACTGGAATCCGCTAATCCAGGAGGGCACCTCAGACGCTGCTCGGAACTCCGAGAATGCCTTTCTGGTTCAATTTGCTCTCGGGCTTTGGAATTCCCTTCAGGTCAGCGAATCCTGGGAGTGTTCTAGAACGCTCTGTGCTTTAACTCCCTGTCCTGTCCACCCCTGTCTCTACCACCAGCTTTGCAGTCCGGCTGGCAGCCGTGATGACTCGGCAATGGTTTATCTTTGAGATGGAGGCCCTTAGGGTCCCCTGGGCTTCACTAGGCAAGCAGCATGTGGGGTGCCCCCATGCAGAGCTCCCCCTGCGCTTCCCTGGAAGCAGGAACAAGTAATTAAGTCTGCACAAAGAAATTCAGCCCCTGTAGATGACTCCCTGCCTCCCCCCCGGACAGTGTCCTGCATGCAGATGGCATCTGGTGTCTTTCATCTCTCCCACAGAGCTGCCCTCGGGAAAGTTTCATTTAGGTTGTTCGGGGAAGCATCTCGGAGAGCTTTGCCCCTCCAGCGCGTCCCCCTCCCCGCTGCCCTTCACATGGGGACACGCTGTGAGAGCCCCGAGCCCCCAGCACCGACTAATGAGAAAATGCCTCCGCGCTGGGTATCTAGGGCTCGTCTCTCCGCAGACACAAATCCTCTTTGTGTCCAGCTTATCTCCAGCTGCTGCCACGGTAAATAGTCCAACTCGAGGGAGCCCGGGCTAGCCCTATCCCACGGAACGAATCCCTTGGTCACTGCCCACACAGCCAGCGGAGCAAGCTTGAGGGATGCTGAAAGACCACCTCAGACGCACCGGGCTGCTTTCTCTCTCGTGGGAGGTGCCTGAGGGATGTGCCCGTTTCAAGACTAGGAAGCAGGGCCAGCATTTTCTCCTTGGAAATGGCCAGAAAGGAAAAAAAAAAAAGAAAGCAAGCAAGAAAGAAAAAGCAACACCCCCCCCGCCCCCCAACGAACTGCAACTGATTTTGTTTTGGTTTTACTATTTAAACAGCCGTTTTCAGGGCCATTTGCTACGTTCTTCCTTAAAGCACCGTCCATGTTTCCCACCTTAGCTTTTCTGGATTCCTGTGCGTTCGCTAACTCCTGTCAGTCTGGTGGTTAAGCCCAGAGGAGTGTTTGGCTCCCTTCGAGGGCTAACTCACGGCCACTTGTAGGATGTTCCCTGTGGTTATGTGGGTCCAGGCCACAAGGAGGTCTGTAGAGGAGCAGCTGGCCTTCCAAGGTGGAGGGAAGAGAGCCCCATGGGCACTGTGACCGGCTCGCAGCTCCAGCCTCTGAGCCCCCTCTGCATCCTGAGCCCCGGGGGACAGACCCAGCTGCTGGAGAGGAGAGCTCGGAACCAGTCTGGATTACCCATCTTTGTACTACCTTCCCAGCCTTCTCCAGGTATCCGCTAAATTCTGTTTCTATCCACCGTCCTTGCTCAATTTGAGTCCTGGGTCCTCTCTGCCAAGAACTGTCAGTCTTTGCAGCAGACCTGGAGAATTTTCATTAGACCGGGCCAAGGGGGGACATTTTCGAGGAGCTGGGTCTTCCGGACAGGGGGTGGAGGCCGTGGGAAGTGTAATAAAGCTGAAGGATGCGGTGGGGTTGGCGGCCCCACCCATGCCTCGCCCCAAGACCTTGCTCATCACCCAGCGGAGATGTGGGTGGTACGCTGTAAGGAGCCCCCCACCCAGCCCACCTCTCCAGCTTCCTCCTACTACCGCCTCTGTGCCGCAGGACCCCAGCCCCCCACATGCTCAGAATTGCTTCTGTGACTTTGTTCAAGGCCGTCCATCTGCCTGGTCCCTCTCTGCCCGCCTTTCTCTCTCCTCTGACTTGGCCAGGCTATCTTAATGAATCCTTCACATTTCAGCTCAGGCGTCCCTTCCTCCGGGAGTCCTTCCCAGATGCCACCCTCGGCCATGCGGTCTTCCTCCTGGCACTTGTGACGTGATGTGGGAAGCAGCTGCCTCCTGGTCTGTCCCCCAGACCCACGAGCCCAAGTTCAAGGGCCATGCCCTGTTCATCTCTAAGGCCTCAGCCCACAGCACCGGGCCTGGCACATCTCAGGAGCTCAGTAAAGATGTGCTGTGAACTGAACTGAAGTCAAGGAACTTCTCATTTGTTTTGGGAGATTTTATAAATATGTCCCATACACACAATGAGGTGCTAAATGATGTGGAACAGACTAGACGGGGCTTTCACTGAAGCCTGGCGCAGACCAGCCCCTTCCTCAGGGCCTCTGCACGCACGCAGTCTCTGCACCTGATCATGGACTTCAGACGATTGAGGGAGGCCACTGCAGAGTGGAGAGTGATTAATGGGCCAGTGTGTAGGTCATTTATCTCCAGCCGGAGCCTCCATTAACTCAGTTCCCTGGACAGGTGCCACCTCGCCCCAGAGCCAGCAGAAGCCGGCACTCGTGTCCAGCCTCTTGTAGGAAGGGTCACACTCCAGCGCCAGGCACCTGCCCACCTCCGGGTACTGCCTCTCCGGCACTGCATCCCAATGCTTAAGATTCACACTCTAGGGCGCCTGGGTGGCTCAGTTGGTTAAGCGACTGCCTTCGGCTCAGGTCATGATCCTGGAGTCCCGGGATCGAGTCCCACATCAGGCTCCCTGCTCAGCAGAGAGTCTGCTTCTCCCTCTGACCCTCCTCCCTCTCATGCTCTCTGTCTCTCCTTCTCTCTCTCACAAATACATAAAATCTTTAAAAAAAAAAGAAAGAAAGAAAGAAAGAAAAGCACTCAGGGGCGCCTGGGTGGCTCAGTTGGTTAAGCGACTGCCTTCGGCTCAGGTCATGATCCTGGAGTCCCGGGATCGAGTCCCACATCAGGCTCCCTGCTCAGCAGAGAGTCTGCTTCTCCTTCTGACCCTCCTCCCTCTCATGCTCTCTGTCTCTCCTTCTCTCTCTCACAAATACATAAAATCTTTAAAAAAAAAAAAAAAAGAAAGAAGAAAAGCACTCAGGGGCGTCTGGGTGGCTCAGTTGGTTAAGCGACTGCCTTCGGCTCAGGTCATGATCCTGGAGTCCCGGGATCGAGTCCCGCATCGGGCTCCCTGCTCAGCGGGGGGTCTGCTTCTCCCTCTGACCCTCCCCCCTCTCATGTGCTCTCTCTCTCAGTCTCTCTCTCTCAAATAAATAGATAAAATCTTAAAAAAAAAAAAGATTCGCACTCTACCACTTTGGGCTTTGCTATTAATTGGTGCTTTATTATTATTTTTAAAGATTTTATTTATTAGCACAAGCAGGGGGAGCGGGAGAGGCAGAGGGAGAGGGAGAAGCAGACTCCCCGCTGAGCAGGGAGCCCCATGCGGGGCTCGATCCCAGGACCCCGGGATCATGACCTGAGCCAAAGGCAGCTGCTTAACCGACTGAGCCACCCAGG